ATTCCCTTATGTTTGGTTATGTTGTGCTGAAGACTTAGACTTTTATGTTGAGTACGCTGAGGATAGGCGTGTACTTTATGTTTACCGTTTGGCTGCCCTGAAAGGGCAGAATAAAGCGGTCTGTTTCATTCAAGAAGTTGTGGAAGTGCTCTGTGGGCTCCCCAACATCACACTATATAAATAAAATCTGTTGTCAGCAACCCGGGCAGTGTTATATGGTCTGCCCCAACCCCTGTTAAAGAAGAACTATGGGGTAAGTGTTTTTCCCCATTGTTCTCCTAAGGGTCACGGGAGGACATATACTAGCGTCCTCCCATGACCCAAAGCTCAGTATACTGCGAGCTGTAGCTGTATACTGAGACCGCCGCAGCTGGGACGGATCCCGACATTACTGTTGAGATCCACCCAGCTGCGTGATTGACAGCTGGCTCTGCCTATCTAGAGGCAGAGCCAGCTGTACCCGCCTTGTCCGTTCCGCCAGTCAGCGCTGGAGGATCGGAGCGGGGAGGGGGGAATCCCTGCAGGGAGCCGTGAGTGACAGTCACGGCTCTCTGTAGGGACAGGATTGATAAGTGAGTGAGCGACGGTATGTGTTTGCTCACTTCCCGATCTATTTAGCTGACGTGTGACAGTTTTATTGTCACACGTCGTCTCGAACTATGAGGCTGAGTGAAAATCACTCACCTCATAGTTCTCCTTTAAGTAGGCTATACACGCAGCAAATTTCAGCCGGTTCTTGATGAACCAGCCAAAATTCACTGCATAGGTGCCAGTGTTGGCACCCTTCCGCCTGGCATCCCTCGATCAGCTGTCACTTTTGCTGGACAACTTGATATGTATGTAAATGTGAAAAAAATCAAATAAGGCTTGTGAAATTAAAAAGAGAATTAATATAATAAACACTAATAAACACATACAGTTACTATAATACAATATATTTTTTTCGGTATAGTGGTCTTTTAAATACAGAATTTACATCCTCTATCCTCCATTTTATATTGCAATCATTTTCACTGTAGTTGACCTTTGAGTCAACTCCCCTATCCCCCTACTTCATGGCATTTCTTTATTACCATAGTATGCACAATTTTTGAAAGTTTTTGATCAATAAAATGTATTGTTTCCTAGAAAAAAAATACCCAGCTATGAATCTTCGGGGTAAATAAATGATTTGCTTTAAAACTTCCATAAACTCTAACTGAACTTTTGAAAGAGTCTCGGTTAGTGTCTGCTACACGGCAAAACTCCAAACATTACATAGAAGTTTCTGCAGAAATGCGAGATATAAGGAGGGCTATAGAGAAGCTCAATGAGAGTCCCTCAAGGGGGAATAAACATTACTTATTACCGTCTTGTGCCTAGTGAATATTACCACCTCCCAATATTTAAACAATAAAATAAAAGCAATTATTCCGGTGTGCGTCGCTTCCTGAGCATTCAGTGTCACACAGAGGAATTGATTTCCCCTGACAGAAGCTTCTTTAAATACATATATATGCTAGGGAAAGTTATTGCTTTCCGCATTATGACTTCAGTCAGCAAGACAACAATCTGAAGTTATTTCACGATGACAATCTAATGATGGCGAATGGGAAAACAGGAACGGGTCTCTTTGTTTTGTAGTAAAGCGCTGTGTTTATATGGCGAAGACTCCTGGCTCAGCTGATTATTCGCTCAGCCAATTGTTCTTTTTTTTCCTAAAGTTTTAAAGGAAACTTGTGCAGAGTACAAAGCATTTTAAGACATTAGAAGTATGTAGTTCAGTTTTGGGCACCAGTTCACCGAAGGATGTTGGGAAACTGGAGAGAATGCAGAGAAGGACATCTAAATGGATGAGTGATGATGCTCAGCTATGAGAAAAGATTAAAGTATATCTAAATATGCTGCTACAGCCACTGTTATTTTCTGCTATTGTTTTTACATTGTTATGTATTGCATTGCATATCATTATGTTAGGGTATGTTCCTGACAACTAGTGGTAGATTGGCGCTATTACATTTGTTTTCCGTATACATTGTTCACCCCTACTGTTTTATTTATATTGGTACAGCCTTCTAGTAGACACTCCCAGCCTCCCTTCCCTATTTTCTTTTCAATGTCTCCCTCACTAAGGTAGGAACTTTACCCATATCTTTGAAATGACAACAAATACACCTTTTAGAAATGTTTAGTAAGGCAATCTACATATACTATTAGATAATTACAGGCTCTTTATTCTTTGCATACCTTATTTTTCTTTTCCTCCCTATTCTTCTGACAGCGGCCATTTTTACTAAGGGCAGATTCATATATCTCCTTTTACTTCCTGGAACTCTGGCACATGTGACTAGGACATGTGACCATGTACATCATCTGCCTCTCCCTGAGATCTTGTGAGATTACAGATGAGATTTCCCAGCTATGCTCTACTGATGTAATCTTCCCAGCATGCAACACTTGGGCATATTACATCAGCAATGCCCAAGAGGACCTGGAAGTAAAAGAAAAACATGTTTGTTTAACTAATGAATGCAAGATGATTTCATATCAGCATCTGCTTTAAGAGGGTTCTATACATGGTGTTACAAGGCTTCCAGAAAGAAATGCTTTTCACCTCTAGGGATGACAAGGAATCACAACCTTTGTATTGTCAAGCCTGAATAAACTACACCGGATTCTTCTTTGAGTCTTCTTGTTGAGTTTCACCCTGCCTGCGGATACCATCAGCTCAGTAGTTTGTCATACTATCAGCACAGACTAGTCTCAGGAGGTATGTTCAAATACATAAATCGGTGGTTGAGACAGAACACTAAACCCAACAAAAATGTAAAATACTGCATCTCATCAGGGGGTGGGTGCATTAGTTTTCCCTTTTCCAGGCTTTTCTCCTTTATTTTCACCTGGTAAAACTGACAAAAACATACTTTCTGTGCTAGGTTTACAGCGTTTGCACACCGCACTTTATTAACGGATGAATAACATTGTCACCCTAGGACAGAGAGTGTGTTAGGACTTCAGAACATCTCTCTCACTAGGCAGGGCTGATAAAACTCTTTACAATAACACTACAGAGTACAGGACACAGGACAGCAATGGATTTCTAGTGAGATCAACATTTTTGCACTAATCAAACCTATCTAACAAAATACTTTTAATGGTATACAGTATTTATTAAAACATAAAGGAGCATGAATGAGAGACGTTCATTAGTAGGGTTCAAATATATTTTAGCTAAACTGAATGTATTATTCCTTGAGCAGAGGCAATGAAGGAGGATATGAAGATGTTGGATAAATACAGAACTCTTCCAAAGTCTTTTACCATTCGGTCTGGCTCCTTTTTATGGTGCATTCTGTGAAACTTCAGGCTAGTGCCACCAGACCAGCCAATATTTTCTGATGGAGGTCAACAGTTACATAGTAAATCAGGTTGAAAAAAAGACACACACCTATCAAGGTCAACCAACAGACAACTTGGTGCAAACGTGTTCCATTTTAAAAGACAAGGAGGCACTGTTTGTGCTTGGATTAAAAGAGGTTAACCTTCACATAGGGGAGGTTATTTACAGTAGCTGTAGCTATAGGGGAGGTTATTTACAGTAACTGTAGCTATAGGGGAGGTTATTTACAGTAGCTGTGAAATTGAAGCAGACCTTCACTAGATCTGGTTCTAGCCAACTCTGTAGATTGTTTAAAAAAACAAAAGCTTGGATGTTTTTCTGAATGCATAGACTATAACCGGCTATTAATATTTAAAAGCAACACCATCGTAGATTGTTGATCCATAGAGTATCCAACTGCTTAGGGGGATGAGAAAGCACATTTTTCCCTGTTATAGCATATTGGACTACAGTCTACAAGGGTTTTTTGCCTTCTTCTGAAGCACCTGCAGGTTTAGAGTTCGGTGGATGCAAGTTTTGTAATGTGCTTGTTTTTGTTGCGTGGTTGAGCTCCATGGATGTGTGTCTTTTTTTAACATGACTTACTATGTAACTGTTGAACTTCTTTGGAAATTATTGGTTGCCTGGCTATCTCTGGCTTATACTTCCCCTAGCCCAGAACAAAAGCACAGCCAGTTATGTCAAAAATACTTAATTGGCATACCTCAAACTGATGTAAAAAACATCCTGAAAGCAAGCTATGTCTCACAGCCTGCTGACACAGACCCTTTTTCCTACACATCTGGCACCATCTTCCATCATCAAGGTTTAGAGACTCTACTTTTGGGATGTTGGCTAGAAGATGACGCAATGCTTTATTCAATGTCAGATAAACATAGAATCACATACAAATGCAACATTTTGAGACCCTACATCAGGCAAAAAAATAGTGTGTGACACATGAAGGGACTACATAAGGTCTTGAAGCATTTCGATGTGATCCCATGTTTATCTGACATCGAATAAGGACAGATTGATAAAATGGACCTTTGGTGTGCTGGTGGCATATTCCTCTACACATTGACCTACGTGGCGCCATCCACAGGCAGCCGCTGAAATATTTAAAGTGTGATTCTAGTCTGGAGTGCAATGGGATATTTACATATCTGGACTTTTACACAATTCAGACCCCGTTCTGCTGTCTTTCAATGTGTTACCAACCAGAACATCCTTAAAGCTCACACAGCTCAGTCCTTCTGTTACCTCTCACCTTACACCCAGTAAGTGTAAAAATACATCACAACCACACAAGCCAGTCACTATGTAGCCTTTCACCCTGTGACCTGCCCAGGTAGTAATCCATCACAGTCACACAACTCAGTCCTTTTGGTCCCTGTCCTGTCACCTTACAGTCATCCGGAGTGCAGCCAGGAAATTTATGGGAATGCATCCCTATGCAAGCCAAAGTCCACCTTTGCCCACCTGTTTTGTGTCTATATGACAACTCCATCCATCTGTAGAGATAAATTGAGCCTTTTGTTCATACAGTGAAGCTCATCTACCTGCTACCTACTAGATTTCACCTTTATTGCCACTGATGTGATTGTGGCTTATTTGTTGTACTTTCATTAAAAATATGCACCTTTTTTTTGGTCATACTGATACCGATGATGAAAAGCAGCTCAGCCAGGAACAAGGCACAGCAGAGGTTTTTATGAATGGTTGTCCTGGTGCTCTGGATTTCACTGAAGAAGAAGAATGTGAAGATGCACAAGGAGAGACAGATCAGGGAGATGATGATCCCCAGCTGAGTGATCCTGGTGAGGACGATGTGATGAATGGACACCTGGAGGAAATAAGCACAGCCGATAAACATCAGGATACAGAGAGATGATACAGAGGAGTCAATGGTCACAACACAGAGGCCTACAATGCTGGGAAAAAAAGAACTGCAAGCATTGCTCCTTTTGTTTTGACATTCACAATAGCATTGTTAGAAGGAAAAGATACTGAAATTGAATATATTGTATATATTTTCTTTCTTCATTATTTGTGGTCTGGACAAAAAAAGATATTTAAATGAAACTCTAGACAAACCACTGAAAAAAACGATAAAATACAAATAAGGCCTCGTTCAGACTGGGACATAGTGAGGATGCACATTTCAGGAACATGCGTTCCCGCACCTTTGTGGGAATTTGTTTACCGCATTTGGCTCTTATTCCCATCAGTCACCATTGGGTCCTTGGACGCGCGCCAACCATGGAAAAGAAGTACATGTTGCAAATTTGGTGACGTGCTGCGCCACATGCCACCTGGGGAAAAACCCAGTTTGGTCAGCCGCATTTGAGGTGCCATTACCTAGTAATGGCAACGCAAACGCATTAAGCGTTTGTGCGCGTAATATGAATGTGCATGTTTGTACACATTCAACTTGCGATCATGATACGTCCTGGTGTGAATGGGGCCTTAAGGAGCTGGTTTATCTGCCAAAGGATTTGTATGCCTGTCCATCCAGTTCTAAGATTTCCACATTCTCGTCACACAGCACAGCCTTGTCTGGCAGGGCAAGATACCTGATTTTTGTCTGCTACAATTTAGTAACAATTACAGGTCTTGTTTGCTCCCCCGGTATATGATTGGACAGTGAAATGAGAAGCAGGGGACTGATAAGCTCATCTCTCACTCTCTCTCCTCTCTCCTATCGGCATGCTTCTTACACCTTAACCATTCGGCTCCCTGTGCTGCTTCTTCCTCTCCTAGTCTGAACTCTGCTGTATAGCAGGGGATTACAAAGATACTAAGGGGTCTATTCACAAAGCTGCCGAAGGATCTGGCCGTAGCTTCGGCCGATCCTTCGGCAGTTTGAGGGACAAGACTGAAAATCTCCACATTAATGACATAGGCAGCAATATAAACCTGAGAAGTGTTCTGACCCTGGATTTGATTTGGTATCAGCCGCTTGTAGCCCCTGTGCAGCAGAGCTGAGAGAGGGGGAGGTAGAAGAACCACAAGGAGCCAATCCAGGTTGAACTCCGATATAAAAGACACAAATTAATGGAACTTCTTAATCATTAATACATCACTAAATGTATTTTGAAATGCACACAGTGTAGGTAACTGAATCTAACCTGGTACCAGCCTCTTGCAGGCCCTGTACAGTATTGCTTAGAGAGGGGGATGTAGAAGCACCACAAGGAGCCAATCAGTTATGCTGCAATGCTGCAATGCTGCTGTGCAGTGCAATATATATATATGCTGTCCTTAATGTAGGAAATGGAAATTAGGAAAATCCAAAGTTGTAACTCTAACAGGACACTTCCAATGAGTGACAACTGTGTAAGATTTCAATAGTTACCATTAGAATGCAAGCTTCTCGGGGGCGGGAACTAATGTCCCTACCCATAAGATTCTACAGTCTAGTGAACCTCCTACAGTCATACTCCCCAGAGGATCTTACAATTTCTGTAATATGCAGGCACAGTATGAGTATGGAAAACAAATCAAATTCTTACAAACTTACAATATGATATTATCATTATTATTAATAATATTTTGCTCACTATTAGTCTCTGTGAGCTAGAAGCTGGGTAAGCAGGCTGTTTTAAAATTGAAAAAGCTGCAATATAGGGATGGTGAGCAAGATCAAGGACAGATTAAAACTCATTTTCTGTACTGAGTCTTCCATTAAGGACAAAGTAATTCTCTCCTGAAAGCAATGAGAAAATAATATGAAGTCTGTGATTGGGTTTTACCTGATCAATAATTAGAAAACATGAGGAACCATTATTTATTTAAAGCTCAGTACACAGAGTCAGATGAGGCCTGAGCTGATATCAGTTGCCTCCTATGAACCTTGCTGGAACTGAAAATTCTTCTTGCATCACCGTGTTGTTGTTCTTGTTTCAAAAGATCTTGGTATTTTTACACTTTTGTCCATGTACTATGCACGCACATTGAATAGTATATTGTATGAACTCTCAGCAGGAAAGCATTACTCATATAAGACCCTAGATTGCTTTAACGTTCCACTAATGGCAAACATTATACATTGTAATGAAAGCCGTATTGTGAATGTATACTAGAGATCTTTTATAAATTAACAATAAAAAAAAGCACACCCATGCTTTCAACAACAACCTCCAGCTATACTGACAATCCCGACCATTAAGTTTATAAATGCTAAATTATCAACACGACATTGCAAAGACTTAAAGAGATCACCAACTTAAATACATTGCAGGCAAAAGCACAGACAAATCAAGTATTTGAAACCTTGATGGACCTTGGTCTTTATTCAACCTCATCTACTATGTTACACAAGAAAGGCTTTTACAGATAAAAACTGAGCTCATGATATTTCCTCCTGCCCATGCACCTTCCCCAAACTTTGCCCTTGAGATTGATAACACAACTATCCATCCCTCCCCCCATGCCAAGGTGCTAGGTGTCATCCTTGACTCGGACCTCACCTTTCTTCCCCACATCCAATCCCTATCCAAATCCTGCCGCCTTCACCTTCGTAACATCTCCAAAATACGCCCCTTACTCACCAATGAAACTGCAAAACTACTCATCCACTCGCTTGTTATATCTCATCTTGACTATTGCAACTCCCTCTTCATTGGCCTACCTCTACACAGGCTACCCCCCCTTCAGTCTATCATGAATGCTACTGCTAGACTCATTCACCTAGCCAACCGCTCAGTGTCTGCAACCCCCCTCTGTCAATCCCTGCACTGACTTCCACTCGCTTAAAGGATAACATTCAAAATATTAACAATCACTTATAAAGCCATCCACAACTCTGCCCCGTCTTCCCCAGCCTTGTCTCATAGTATCGCCCTAACCATCCCCTCCACTCTACCAAAGACCTCCTGCTTTCCAGCTCCCTCATCAACTCCTCCCATGCTCGCCTATAGGACTTCACTAGAGTCTCTCCCATCCTCTGGAACTCTTTACCCAAATCTGTCCGTCTGTCTCCCACTCTGAATGCCTTTAGGCGATCCCTTAAGACTCATCTCTTCAGGGAAGCCTATCCCACCTCAACCTAACCGCTCAACCATCACGTTCACAAATAATTCATCCCCACACAGCTACCTTCTCATGTATCACTTGTCCCTCCCTTTTAGATTGTAAGCCCTCAGGGGCAGGGTACTCCTCCTTACCATCTTGTCTTGAATTGTATTGTGATTGTAATGTCTTCCTTATATTGTAAAGCGCTGCACAAACTGTTGGCGCTATATACTGTATTTTGCGCTCCATAAGGCGCACCGGACCATAGAACGCAGGCCGGTTCTGTGACAGTTTCTGTGACAGAAACTGTTACACAAGCTGCAGTTAGTGACCGGTGAGACAGGTGGCGCTGTGACTACAGTGCCACGGTCTCTGTGTTCACACAGAGCAGACTAAGAACTATCGTTCATCGTCTGCTCTAGGGGCTCTTTAGTGAGCTCCTATCCCGTGTCCACGGGTCCCCCAGAGGAGCTGTTTTAATACAAGTGATCTGAATAGACTAAGGACTAAGACTTAAAAGAAAACAATGGCCAAACCTTTTTTTGGTGATAGATCTCTATTGGGTCACAGGAGGACATTTACTAATATAAAGCCATGATGCATCCGGTATGGATCCTGACAATATTGATTAATTACTACCTGATTGACAGATGGCTCTGCCTTTCCAGAGCCAGAGCCAGCTGTGCCCGCCCCCAGTTCCCCACCAGGTCCACCAGCAGAGCACTGCCAAGTCAGTGCTGGAGGAACGGAGAGGAGGGAACCCCCGGGGAAAGCTTTGACTGACAGTGACTGCTCCCTGCAGGGAGAGGAGTGGGAACTGAGCGATCAGCACTCAGTTCTAGATCTATTGAGCCAGCATGTGGCAGATGCAGAGCCACACACTGGCTCTAACTATATGCATGAGTGCATTTCACTTTCCTCATAGTTCTCCTTTAAGGGTCAAGAGGAACTTCAGGACTTACAAGACTAACCTCTGCAGTTGGGCAGTGCTCATTTTGGTCTAGGGGGCTCAAATAAAGAAGATATCTTCACCTGATCTTCGATCCTACCTTCATGCTAGCCTCTTCTTCCCAGGGCTCTGGTGGTCTAAGGACCTCTGACATTGTATTGACATGTATTAGACATGAGGACACCAAAGAACATACCATGGTGGAGGAGGCTAGAGGTGAGCACTGACTGCTGCAGGGCCAAGGATTCCCATGTGGCCAAAAGAGATGCACCTCAGGCTGCTTCATTAAAGTCATGGCCCTGGCTAGAACATACAAAGTTATCTGACATCTTTGCTGTGATGGATGACCCCGGTACACTTACTTGGTTATGACTGGATGAGGTCATCAAAATAGCGAAATGAGTGAGATGGTTACATTTGCATGAGGTGTGTGTAACGTTGGAGTAGTCCACTTCGCAACCTTCAGTAGACCACTGCCCTCGAAGAGTCTCCATTGTGTATTTCCAAAATGCACACTTTGCAGCTTCAGGCTCCATGGATGGCTGTAAAAGATGTTTTGAAGAATACAAATTAAAATATTTAAAGCTGAACACAAGGCAAACAGCTAAATACATAGATTGAATACATATAAGGGAGCTTTTCTACCTGCCAAAGGATTGGTATCTCTGTCCTTCTACTTATGAGATTTACACAGCTCTGCCACACAGCACAGCCCTGTCCGATAAGGCTTCAGGGGGCCCGATTTTTCTCTGCTATTGTAAGTAACTCTTACAGGTCTCCTGCCACCCCCCAGCTTGGGACTTAACAGTAAAAGGAGAAGCTGCAGACTGATGGGTTCATATCTGTCACTCTCCTCTCCCATTCCTTGTTACCGCATGAGCATTGCAGCACACGGGATTGGCTCTTTTCCCTGCTTCTCCCTCACCTAGCCGGAGCTCTGTTGTACAGTTGACTATAATGGACTGATATCAAGTCAACTTCAGTTACGTACACTGCTTACAACTACATAAATATATTTAATGATATATCAACCAATACAGAGCTGCATTAATATGTGACATTTATTTTGTGTTTGGAGTTCAACCTTAGTAGATGCAATCCTGAAAGTGTTATTAAAGTGAAAATGTTTTATGGTACTTCAAATGCCAGTTAAATGACCTACAATGGATGCTGCTCCTTGATGTTTAAAAATGTCAGTTTCCTGCAGAATCAGCTGGTCCCCTGAGCGCTAGCCATGAAATCCTGTTTTAGGGTGGCTCCTTTCCCTTGCAGAGTCCCATGGAGACACCCTTGTCTGTACTAGTAAGCTGTGTGTGTGTCTTCACAAACACACAGGCACAGCAATATAAGGCAATTCTCTCCCACATGCTCCCCACTCCTCCTTCCTCCCTTCCCCAAGCTAGCAGATGGACAACTGCTGGTGGCTGCTCCGTCTCTTGTGATCTTGTACTGCACAGGAAGTTCAGGGAAACCAAGCTGAGAGAGTTGGAGCCAGCTGTTCGGATAGATAATAACTATAAGTGCTTGGGCAAACATTGAAGTAAATACTTTGCTGGACAATGTATATTTGATCTAATTTCATTATTGAAAAACGTTTGAGAGTTCAATATTGCTTTATTGAATGCCATGTACCTTGTAGAGCACTGTGTATCTTACACAATTATTTATTTGGGTTCAGTATTGAGTTGCCTACATTCCTGTGGCTTATACCACCATTAGACATGTAAGCTGTGGAAAAATTCGGTTCAGTTTGAATATTTCGGGATTTAGTATTCCGATCCGAAATTCAATTCGGTTCGGGTTTTTGATTCAGACAAAATCCGAATTTTCGTTAGTTTCGGATGAGTTGACGCATATTCGCTGCAAATACCACAGAAAACCATATACAGATATTACTACTAAAGCTGAATCTCCTAGACCCGAATGGCATTGGAGATCTGATTTTCCAAATTGCATTCGGGAGCTCCCGAATACCATTGGGGTCTGGGAGCCATATACAGGTGAAACTCAAATAATTAGAATATTGTGCAAAAGTAATTGCAGTAATTTCTGCAAAAGGGGCCCAAACCAAGTACTGAGTACATATGCATGCTTGTACTTTTCAGAGGTCCGATATTGTTCTATGTACAATCCTTGTTTTATTGATTGCATGTAATAATTTCCATAATGGAAATTCATGTTCAGGCCCATTCGGATGCATTAAACCGAAAAACACATCTGATTGGCCTGATTGGCCAGAAAAGTCACATGTCCAATTCAGTTTTGTTTTTTAATGAAATGTGGATGGGATACGAAATTCAGAAATGCAAATTCGGATTTGGACACATTCGGATGCATTGGGATTCGGAAATTTGGATGTGCCCGAATGTCCGAAACAAAATTCAGTAACCCACTGCAGCCAGTCAGCTAATATTTTGGTTATAGTATATACAGTATATTAAAATAAATTTTTGCCCTTGCAGTTGACAGTTGCACCTGATACATGGCTTTTTTCCCCATGCTGAATACACCTGTATTTCATGTGTTTGCACTTAACATACTTGACCATGAAACAAGTTGTTTCAGAAACAGCTACAGAAGGACAAACTACAGAACAAAAATCTATTATATTTTGTATGTAGAAAATGCCGGCAAATTCTCTCATTGTACAGTCTATGAGGTCAATGAAGAACTTCACTCTTCCAGACTCAAACCTTTAAATTCTTAAGTCCAGTTTCCATAGCAACCATCCATCGAAAAAAAAAGGCAGACATGTGAGTGTTTTTTTAAAGTTAGTTTTAATGTGTGACCTAAATGGGAATCACAAAGTTTTACAGAAACTTGGGTGTGGAGGGATGTAGAATTCTCTGAAATCAATATTTGTTCTCATCTGCTTGTAGCTGACTTCATGGTGTGACAACATTCATTGAACCCCGTGTGGTGGCTACAGAACCCTCCAGCACAACGTAACAGTGAGAATCACTTACCTCTAAATGTCTCAGCGTGAATGTGACTTTTTCCAGCTGGTAGAGGGTAGGAGGGTTGGAATTAATTGCTGCCGCAATTATCGGTGAGTTTACTAGCTCGCCAAATTCCAGTGAATTATCATCGTCTGTCAGAGCTTGGGTTTCAGGAGATGCAAGGAGTGCACCAATGCTGTCATATCGGAGGAATACAATGCTCACTGTGCCTGGGGAAAACATAAAGGGCATGGATATTAAAGATACAGAATATAACAGTGCACACAGCATCACACTTTAAAAGGTAACTATAACTTTAGTAAAATTATTACTATCTGACCACTATACCCCTGATAATTGTATACTATAGAACCCTCAAAATAGCTTTCCATGTAATGTTACCCCAAACACTAACCCTACCCGCAAACCCAACACTAACCTTGCCTGTATCCCTCAACTAACTCTCTCCATATCCTTAGCGCTAACCCTTCCTGTAAGCTTTACATCAACACTCCCTAAGTGACCCTGACACTAACCCTCCCTGTAATTCTATCACTCTGCCTGTATGCCTCACACTAACCCTTCCTGTAACCTTTCCACTAACCGTCCCTATAACCTCAACACTAACTAACCCTCCATGTATCCCTAACAATAACCCTCCTTGTAACCCCAACACTAACGATCCCTTTAATCCTAACACTAACCCTTCCTGTAACTCCAACTTTAACTAACCCTCCATGTATCCCTAACACGAACCCTTCTTGTAACCCCAACATTAACGCTCCTGGTATCCCTAAAACTAACCATCCCTGTAACTCCAACACTAACTAACACTTCTTGTATCTCTAACACCAAACCCTCCCTGTAACTCCAACACTAACTAAACCTCCATGTATCCCTAACACTAACCCTTCTTGTAACCCAAACATTAACCCTCCTGGGATGTACTACAATCTCAATAGAAATTAGTAAACTAAACATGAGATTGTAGTCCATCCTGGGGGCGAGCTTGGAGCGGTGACTACTTTACAACACACACAGGGACCATGGGCAACAAAAGTAGCCGCCCTCCGGAAGGAAGGGCAGTGTCAGCACCAATTCAGAGATGATTTGAGGATCTATAGCTGAGTGATATACAAAAAGATACATTTTTGTTATAAGTTAAGGGCATTTTTAAGATTTAACTTCTGAGTTTAGTGTCACTTTAAGAATACAAACGATCTTGTGTGAGCCTACAATGTGGACATCCGTAGAATTCTACCTAACCTTTATAGATTGTATATTCAAATGCATGTGTGGCTAGTGTTCACTGCCCATAAAATATATTGCTCCTACGTACACTAAGCAAGCTTTTATTTTTCAGACGTGATTAGCGCCATTCATTTTTGCCACTGCGCTATTGTTTCTTTGTCAGCTGCATTCACTAAGCTCCTTCTTCTGCCTTTACATCCCGCTCACTGTAAATACATGTATATTTCCCGTAAATAAACGGACACGGTTGTTTGCCTAATTGCGCCTAGATTAATACTAGAGGGGGCGATTTGACAAATGCTGTCAGGTCTAGCATTGCATTGTGCTCATTTATTCAGCTAATACTATTTTAATGAGCTGTGGCACATTTATTTGATTAAATCGTTCTTTAAAGTCATTTGCTCTGGCTATTAAGGGCTGCAAAAGCAGTGTTATTCACCTCCATTGTCATTGGTATTCACAGCCAGGTTCCCGGTGTCTAAACTGCCGAGGAATAATCACACATGACTGTGTGTTTGCGCCTAGACCAGTGCAGATATATACCTGCAGAACATCGATAGAATTACATAATTACACATGTGTACGTGAGGATGCACAAATTATATATACCTGGGAAATTATCATTATCTTTTATTTATAAAATGCAAGCACGTAACATACTGCCGTACATCAAATAAAAGAAGGAACATACTATACATTCCCACTGAGCTTCACTGCAAGTGTTAGGTTCGTGATGAGGTATAAAGGGATCCTATAGAGATTTAACATATGTTCTTTGTTGGTTAAGTTTAGTACTTGATATATACATTTATTTTTCTTTAATCAGATAAATATGAAATATTTATGTGATATCTACCACTTGAAGCCAGTAGGGCTTTTTTCTTTTAGGCAGATGCTAAAATATACTTCAATGACTTCAAGGAAGGGATAAGCCCTCTTCATCCTCTGCTAACTAAGATGACAATGTCGTCACTAGCGAAATAACATGTCAGTGCTGGGCTTTCTTATTATTTATATATATGTACCAATTTTAATAAAGAAGGAAAATATTTAAAACAATAAACATTTTCTTTAAAGTGTTCAGTACAAGCCAAAAAACGTTTTGCTAGCTTTGGATAGAGCATGGGAGGAATTCAATTCAAGTTGAGTTTTTACTGCTATTAGAGAGATTTACCTTCACTTCCTACCCTGTTGACAGTGGTTTCATCAAACAGGAAGTGAAGGAGAATCTGAAACGGAAATAAAAATCTAGGAAAGGGTGGAAACGAGGCATTGGACATACATCTTCATTCAGTAGAAATAATGAATTATTTGAGCCTGATGGCTTAGGTTCGGCAGCTCTCCACAAATCATGTGGGCTTTTCAGAGGTAGGGGGTCACGCAGATTGAGAAATATATGTGTGATAGAACCAGTAAGAGTCAAAACCATGTCTTAGGAGTCTAAAGTATTTGATAGATTCCACAAAAAAGCAACTGGCAGCCAACACGTTTCCGAGGGCCAAAATGAAACCCTTTATTCAGGGCTTAAACAATGTGTTGAAATGTTTAACCGACTCAAAATAAAGCTCTTAAGGTGACATTAAACTCAGGAGTTAAATCTTAAAATGCATTTAAGTACCTTGACTGTTAACAAAAATGTATCTTATTTGTGTATCACTCGGCTGTAGATCCTCAAATCATCTCTGAATTGGTGCTGACACTGTCCTTCCTTCTGAAGGGGCGCTACTTTTGTTCCCCATGGTACCTGTGTGTGTTGTAAAGTAGTCACCACCGCTCCAAGCTCACTCCTGTGATGGACTACAATCTCATGTTTAGTTTACTCATTTGTATTGAGAGTGTAGTCTATCACAGGAGTATGCTTGGAGCCGTGACTACTTTACAACACACACAGGGACCAGGGGGAACAAAAGTAGCCCCCCTCCAGAAGGAAGGACAGTGTCAACACCAATTCAGAGATGATTTGAGGATCGACAGCCGAGTGATACACAAATAAGATACATTTTTGTTAATAGTTCAGGTACTTAAATGCATTTTTAAGATTTAACTCCTGAGGTTAGTGTCTGTTTAAAGCTTGTGATTTTGGTATGCTTGTTGGTTCCATCACACGTAAAATAAAAGTCTATCTGAAGCTCTAGTTTACTCTAACTCTACTAAAAAAAAATATTTATTTCTGTCTTTCTAGGTAGTGTTACCCATGCTTCCTGTCTGGTAAAACATTAACATCAGGACAGGAAGTCAGGGTAAATCTCTCTAAAAGAACTCCAGATAGCAGTAAAAAAACTGACAAGGGCTCTATACCTTCTTCACTCCGGATAAGAAAATATGTTTTGGCTGAACATAAACTGTAACTTTTAAGTAAGCCCTGAACCAAATGCTACTGACACCAAAGATACGTAATCTAAAACTTCTTTATAGGACAGATTGACAGCTCACCACTACTTTTGCTGATGTGAATGATCTCCTGCCTACTGGAGAACCCACCTTCCTCTATAACCTATTTTACTATTCCTTGTCACTCAAATTGTGCACGGCATGGAACTTCCTAAGATCTTGAACCTGCTGCCAGTCTTGTTCCATGAAAATACAGTTACTTTGTTGCATGCTGTCTCACGGGTTATCAATCTCACCCTCCACACTACACCCACCTAAAAATATTTAGAATTAATACAGACTCTGTTCAAAGTAGTTCTGCATCAAACAGAATACATTGTAATTTGGGCTGCTCATTGCACATAATAAGCTTTGGCTCTGCAACTGTTTGCGGCATAAAAAATAGCAATGGATCATTTAATTCACACATTTGCTGAAACTTGAAAATGTAAATCCAAATTCAGCAGAATGGTTTTGTTCATAATTGGCAAATTAAAAGCTCATACATAAACAATGTTCTACATTCGGTAATACATTGTCTGGATCCTGGAAGAGAGGGAGAGTGATGCATTTTTTTTTACTTTACTTCAGCCTGCTGTATGTTGGTGGCCATAGAGAGGGAATTTAGCTATATCTTCACCAAACACAAAGGTTAGAATGGGCTGCTCTTCACAACTGGCAGAGTAACTTAAGCCGCGTAATCTTTAATGGGGTAGAAGGTTTTAGGCCCAAATAATGAGACCATCCCTCCAACAATTGGGGGCCATGGTGGGCAAGCCACATACTGAAAGGCCTTTAGGGCCATGTTTCATGTTACACCCATAATCAGGTCCCCTCAGCCACCACACCAGAGGGACTACTCTCTAGTTCTCAGTAGAATTGTTCCCATCCAAGTTACTGAATGTCTTTGCCAATGTACAGACATGGACAGGAGGAAGAGTCTTCAGGAGCCAGAGCATTGCATCTATATTCTACTGATCATGGTTGCAATACTTTACTGGCTTCAATGCAAAAAAAAAATTCTCCAAAAGTAGACTTTGCCTTTGAACTAAAAGTGAATATTTTTGATCCTATCCGGAAAATCTAGATTTTTTTCCGCCTATTAGCCTTACATCAGCAGCGTGGGATCATCTAAAGCATACCTGCCTCTGATAACTGCCATTCTCCAGAAATTTGGAGTAGCATTTAGGCCCATTTCGGACGGATGGTCCGATCAGGTCTGCCCGCCGGTTTTTAAGGAGGATGCGATAGGATACCCAATGTAACTTTACGGGTAGCCACATCTAAATGGACAGGTGTCTGTAAAAACAAATTAAACGGTGTTCCATTTCTCCAGTCTCGAGCTTGCTGGGTCGGGGATAATCAGATGTAAACGGACAGAAGTCCATTTACATCTGATTCACAGGAAGGAGGTAAAAACTGGATGGGCATGAATGTCACAGCGGTGATATTGGATCCATACTGCTTTTAATCAGGAGGGGATCTGTGCATGGATCACCTCCTGGTTGGACAGTGTGAAAAGGGCCTTATGTCACTACTGTACTGCTCACTTAGGAAGCTGTAGTTGAGGATGTGCAGTTGAAGGATCTCCCTGCTTCTGCTCTATTAATTTAGAAGGTCTGTGCTTCCTTCTCCTCTCATGTTGTTTATCACTACCCCAGCACTCATCAGATCACCAGTAGAGATGAGTAAGTGGCTGAAAAATATATTATAAAAATAAAAGGTGGAGATTTTTCAATACATGATTCTGTTGCTGTATAATGAGAAGTGGTAGGAATGTATTTATGCAGACTTATAGGATTATTAAACCTTCTACTTTAACTGACCTCCCAGGTATTACCACTGCAAGCCTGATTTTAACTAACATCTGCCTTGCCCTAGCAAGGTTTGACCTAACAACACTAGTTGTATTGGAAAATCCTTTCACAGCTTGTGAATGCATGAGCGAACTGAAATGTATTGTTAAATGTTTGGTTGGTTGTGTCATTTAAACTTTATTTACAGACTGCAGATTTGAAAGACTATATACCGCAACTCAAAATGTATTTCTTTTTCTTCTAATGAGAAAAAATAACATTTAATGAAATCTAATTTTGCAGGGCCAAACAGCCTTATAAACAATTCTGTGTATTGATGGTTGTTCCCCTTTAATTACCATGTGTTAATATGCCATTATTTCATTGTTTGGTTGCATTTGCATACAAACATTTGTTTCATTAGCCTTTCCATGGTCTCTGTATATTTGAGCAGCTCTTCCAAAGCAGCACTTTCAAATTAATTCACTAAACACGCAAATGAAATTATACATTATAAATAAAATAAGGTAGCTGTCTTACTTGTCTGCAACATTTCTCACTGTATACAGTTTTCTTATACAAAGTTGTTTTTTTTTTAATCTGTTGCAAAGTTTCTTACCTGGAGATCCTACTGATAAGAGCACTTCCTGTTGCAGGCTGACAACACTAAACCAATGCCTTGCAGTTAGCAGCAGCGTTGTCAGCTTGCCATGAGAGCTCTTACTGTTGGCTGTAGGGTTGTATATATTATGGACCTGATAGGTAGCCCATTGGCCAACTAAAGAACGTCACATAGCAGGCTGACAATGCTGCTGCTAATTTTACAAGAGATTCAGAAACATTTTGCTTAAGAAAATTGTATGCATTGAGAAAAGATGGCAAACATGCTGGCAAATAGATTCAGGGTTTACTTAGACTTAATGGTAGGTTCATACCATAGCATTGCACTACATGCACAGGATCCATGGGCTTAGTGCATGCTATTGCATGGCGCAAGATACCACATGCTATGTTTGTTGGTGCATTGCATTGCCATTCATTCATGTGTTGCATTATAGCACCAATGCTATGGTGTGAACCCGTGCTAAAAGATGCAATAAAGAACTCCAGGCATTCTAAAAACGTTCCCTTGCAGTGGGGCTACCCCTGCACTGCAAGGGTTGAGTGCTGGTTGTTCTCTAGGGGGTAGAACAAAGCAGATATACTCACCTGATTCTGGCTGTGGAATGTCTCTCAACATCCTCACGTCTAATGGACCTGCATTAGACGTGATGCTATCAGTGGTTCTTAGACCTGGGGAAGAAGAGGCTTTGGGAACTGATCTATCAGCCCGGCAGGATCAAGTGAGTATATCTGATTTATTTGAGTCCACTGGGGGAAAAAAGCACTCAACCCTTGCGCTGATGGAGTAGCCCCACTGCAAGGAAAAGTTTTTTAAATTCCCAGTTCTTCTTTAATGAACACCAAGCTCCATTAATTGATGTCTTTTATATCTGCCCAAAGCTTGCCTTTAACCCACCAAAACTCATCAGCAAACTCCTGCAACTGTCCCACATTGCTAGAAACGTGGATCCTTACCATTAAGTGGAGACATTTCCTTTTTCTTTGGAGAAATCTTGATGTAATCGCCCTCCATAAAGGCGTGCGGGTGAATGTGTTTCATGTGGTTGGAGTCAAAGGTAAACAGTTTGAGAGCTGGTGGAAGAAACAGTGAAGAAATTATACATTATGACCTACCGCTCTGATGGAAATAAATTGCTACAAACATATATATACGATTTCTCAGAATAGGCACCAAGAGGACTAACGTGTCAGGTTCCTTCAAGGCGAAATGCTTTTTAATCTTGGTAGAGAAAAATACACGTGTGATTTCAAGATGTAGAAAAAGAAGTCATAACATTGATACAATAATAACTCTGTCACTTCCATGCATTGAAGAGAGGAAGATCTGTCCTTTTACTTCAGTTCTATAGCACCGTACTTTCTACAGCACTTAAAGGAGAACTATGGGGTCAGTGTTTTTCCCCATAGTTCTCCTTAGGGTAACGGGAGGACACAAATTAGCGTCCTCCCGTTACCCTAAGCTCAGTATACCGCGAGCTACAGCTACAAGCAGTGGTATCAGCACAGAATATTGATTCTTCAATATTCAATTAGATTCCATCATCAAGAGACCATAACTTACAGGGGTACGGGTACAATTAAATACTAGACCACACATGGACTCTTATACACACATGTAAGCACACATGCACGCACAAGAGACCCGCACAAACACAAAGGTTGAGCTTGATGGACCTGTGTCTTTTTTCAACCTCAAATACTATATAACTATGTATACTGTGGCAGTTCAGATGACTGATTCCTCCCTTTTGCCTGGGAAAATTCTGAAGCAGCCATAGCAAATGTCATTGCTCATCGTGCTCAGGGCATACACAGACAAAAATCAATTTAGAGGGATAGACATTGAAGGACCACTAAAGTGGAAAAAAATGTACCCTAGTAACTTGTTTATAACCTATAACGTAGGTTAAAATGTAGTAGTATGTGGTTATAACCTATAATTAGAGTATCAGGTATATCATTTTTTTGTTTCACATCTTTTTTAATATTTCGCTCCACATTTACAGGCAGTCCGAGATGTCCAAATGTGATAGTTACAGGGATTGGGATAATGGGTTGATACAATGATCAGCTTTTATCCATATAGTGATTTTGCCCATAGTTGCACTTTGGTTTCCCCTCTGTGCTGACATTGTTACAGTTGCCAGTAACTTCTGCCTGGTTTTATTAGTTGGAGTGCACCCTATTGAAAAATGTGAAGAACCCCAAAGCAGCTATTAACAATCAAGTGAGCTACTGGGGACATAGCTGTTACAATGCTGGTTAAGTTTAATTGGGATCAATAACAACAATTTAATAGTTGGCTCAACAGGGTCTCACAGAAAATAGAAACTAATTATATCACACTCACTAGTCATCATGAAAGCCAAAATAGATTTTATTTCCTAACACTGTAAATGTTTTTCAACAAATTTTATTAAACATTAATTAAAACAATTGATAAATTAAAAGCATGGCTACAAGCCGGGCACTGTATGGCACATTACAAATGCTTTGAAATAATTGACAGACGGAGTGACATAAACACTTTATTGGATTGTGTATTTTTTTTAAATCATATTGTATATATTAATCATTTAGCACTTATTGTGTTCTTAATTGCTACCATATTGTATAGTAATATTCATCTAACTATTTATTTACAAGTGACATGCAGAGACTGGCTTGCAAAATACTTAATTTACTGATGGTTTTACTATATATTTAATAAAACTGCTTATTTCAACATATTTAGCATATTGGACAGATGCTTAGACCAGATGACCTCTACTTCAGCATGCTTCAACTTTAGCAGCTGCCTTTTAAAGGATGCAATATGTGCCTAGCACAGAACATGGGTGCCCTAGGAAATTAAACGCTGTACAATTTGCGCTTAGTTAGGAGGCCATTCCCCAGAGAAGATGAGCTAGTAAACGTGGTAGTCAGGAAGCCTGAGTTTGATACAAAATGGACTGAAACACTGCCAGAGGGACTGTACAAGACATGGTCATGGACAAGCCAAAGGTCAAGGTCAGATGAGCAGAATGCTAGCAAAGAAGCAAGTAATGGTTGGAAGCCAAACCAGTGGTCAGTAGACTTGTGCGCCTTCAAAAAATTTGTTCTGTTTCGTTTCGGAATATCCGTTATTTCGTACGAAATACGAATTTTCGTTAGTTGCGGTTATATTTTCGTAACTTTACGAACATTCGTTATGATGAAGTTAAAAAGCAAAATACCTTTTGTATTGGAGTGGTATTTCGGTTTAAAAAAAAACTACCATCAATCAACTCCAATATATTAACAAAGGTATTTTGCTTTTTACCTTCAATATAACGAATGTTCGTAATGGAACGAAAATATGTCAACGGAATTTCGTATTTCCTGCCTGTATTTGTAATGCAACTCTCAGCAGCAGGATAACATTAGTAGACATGTGTTGCAGAGAGTATATAGAGGAACTGGAAGTTTCACACCCCGGGTTTCAAATGCGAGAAATACATTTTTTGTTTTGTTTCCACAGTGGGGTGTGCAAAGACCCAGAGGGAAAAGGAAAAAAAAGTGCTTTTAAGAAATTGCTGTTTCCCGGACATCAGATGTCCGGGAAATGAACAGCAATACTACACACGGCATAAGCGGAAATCCATAAACCTCTAAGTCTATTGTGCCGGCTGCCTGTGTTTCCTGAGGATTACAGGGTGCTGTCTCCGACGCGATCCCTCCATCTTATGTTGCCTATGGCGGTTCATGTTTGACAAAACCAATCCTTTATTTGAACTTGAAGCAGTTGCGTTTTATTACATCTCTGCCTCCTTGACTAACTGACGGTGAAGATATACATATGACACATATCTACCATAGAATTGTCTTTCTCCCCTGAAGAAGCCCTTTCGGGGCGAAACATGTAGGGACCTATAGGAGTGCTTATACCATTCTGATAACAAGCAACAACATACATCGTAACTGCACGGTATTGTCACCAACTGGTGAACCTGCATATGTATATGTATTTTTATTGATGATTATGTATTTTGTTTTTTATCTGAAATAATGTATACTACGAGTTATTGAATAAATGTATTTCTAAATTTTTTATACAAGAGGTCTTGACTTGTTTCTTAAAAGCCCCTTTTTTTCCTTTTCCCTCTGGGTCTTTGCACACCCCACTGTGGAAACTCTCAGCAGCAGAAGAGAACCTCTGATTGGTCAACCAAAACGAAATACGAATTCCGTTAACGGATTCCGTATTCCGAATTCCGTATTTCGGACAAAAAAAAAACTACCATCAACTCCAATATAAATGTACTTTGCTTCTTAACTTTAATATATCGAATGTTCGTAACGGAACGAAAATACGTCAACGGAATTTCGTATTTCCTGCCTGTGTGTGTAACTGTGTATTGTAATGCATCAGCAGCAGCGGATCCGTTAAAAAAAAAATCTTGTCATGTTGTTCAACCTCATTTACAGGGGTAATATTAGTTCCTGTTTCAAAGAAATTCGGATCCGAAATTCGTTAACGGAATTTCGTATTTCGGATATAATTCGGAAACTGCCATTCGGATTTCGGATGCTCCGAATATTCGGAATTTCAGGAAAATTCGTACGAATTTCGATTCGTAATGAAACGAATTGCACATGTCTAGTGGTCAGCTTCTGCAAGTCTGACAGGTCAGAAGTCTACTCTGAAGAAGAGGGTCAGGGAAGGGAGGGAACAGGGTCAGGGTTGATGGAGTGTGACCAGGAACTAGAAGCTGGATCAGTAATGAAATGTAAATAGGAACAGAGGACAAAGAATCAGGATCTTTTATTGATTCTATAGGCTAAAGGAATGGGAAGGGAACCAGGATCCCAAGGGAGGGAGCAGTTAAAAGCAACAGCAACTGATGGACAAGAGGACCCAGAAAGGGAAGGAGTCAGTGGCGTAACAATCGCCACAGCGACCCAGGCAGCCACTATGGGGCCTAGCCAGGGCCGCCTGGGTCGCTATGGCATGTGGGGGTGCTGGCTGTCACAGACACAGCTCAGCAGCGGCCACGGCGCATTTCCCCTCATAGCCGCTGCGGAGCTGTGTCAGTGACAGCCACCCGCTGCGTAAGATGAGGGCGGTGTTCGGAATGGAGGAGGCGGGGCACGTCGATGGCAGAGGTAGCGGGGCCCGGGGACGGAACAGGAGTCGGGGCCTGGTGACCACAGAGGCGCTGACAGGTAAGAGATCTCAGACCCTGCAGAACCCACTATAGAGAGGCTATGGCAGACTCTGCAGGGTCACTCTCCGCTGGGGCTCTGCAAGTGGCATAACTAGCAATCACGGGGCCCCATACAAAATTTTGCTATGGGGCCCTGTGATTTCTAGTTACACCCCTGGAAGGAGTAATAACAGAAGAAAGACCAACACTAGCAGCAAAATACAATCAGAAAGACCCAAGGGGGCACAACAGGAACGTGAATAAGCAGCATCTGAGGAGGGCACCAAACATAGATGACCCCCTCCCCAGACAACTACCGAATTCCACCCTAGTTCAACAACTATGCCACAAACAACCACCAAACACTTGGCATCCATGAATCCACTTACAATTATTTTTTGATATCCACGACCCCATAGGCAAGACACAACTGAATCACTTATGTAGAGACAGTCTATAATGTTTTTGTTTATGATCCAACAATACATCAATAGCGTCAAGTGGGCTTTATTGACATAAGCAACACAAAAACGCAATGCACCGCACTGTGCTGGTGGTGAATGACGCTGCTGATAATTGATAATAAACAAGTAATGTATTCAATAGTTCAAATTGAAGTCAAAGGTGTGCTGCTTACTCTGGGGCTTATCTACCATTTTTACACAGTTGCTAAGCACTTACCAGCGGGTAAATCTATCACAAAGTCTGGCGGGCGGTGGGGCTCTTTAAATCCTAGAGTAGAGTGCTCAACCTTCAAAGGAAGGTTTGTAATTCATAAAGGCAAAAGAGTTGCTTTGCAGACTGTCCCAACTCCCAACTATTCACAAGGAATTGTCACACAAGAAGTAGTTTCCCCAGACAAGCAATGTTTGCCACCCTCCATAGTTTCTGTCTCTCATTACACTG